CCTTCCATCCCCATTTCCCCCCGAAGAATATGCCCATGCCACTTACAGCAACTCTTACAAGTAACCTCCAAACACGGCTGCTCATACGTAATCCTATTCTGCCATCCTCCCTTCTTTTGTCTTTTCGGTCCGCCGTAATGGAAGCGGAATAGCTTTACCTTGCAATTAGTAGAAGTAGGCTTGTTCTTTACAACTCCACAATTGTTCGTCTGCGGCGGAGAAGATAGTGCAGGTGCTAGGCAACGTAACTTGAGGGTCAGCTTCCGTGGTGCGTTGTTTGTTGTGTGTAGCGGGGTTGGCGGATGGTAGGCGTTCCATATGTGTGCTGGTATCTTGACTTTAAGGCCTGTTCGGAGGCCTGTTCGGTTTGGACAGCTGGGAGCTTTGGGCTGGGGGGCGGGTTGGTACTCATTCCATATGTGCTTTGGTGTTCTGATCTTCAGTCCCATCATGTCTGTAATCAGGTCGGTCATTGCGATCCTTTCGCTAGGACGTCGGTTGGCTAGGCGCATTTGCTCTGTTGTCAAACTTGCTGTTTCCTTCATTTTCGTGACGCGACAACAAATAAGTTGCCAGCTACGAAGTTTGTTGGTGTACTTGTTGGTCCTTGATAGCCTGGACGTGTGCGGCAAGCGAGACGTTGATGAAAGCATGGCTGCCGGAACAAAGGTGTTTCGGATTGTTGAGATGAATGCCATTGTCTTGACCATGATCAGACGTCTTTCTCTAATGATAAACCACGTAAATGCTCATGATGCGATGCTGAATGCTAGAAAATAGGATCAAAGTCGCGTGAGAACAATCGTCTACTCGTAACACTGGTCCCAAAGGCCACCACTCCTCGCAAAGCTCTGGCTCTCCACAAATTTACTCAAGGTACACCTTCCAAACTTGTCGCCGCCGCAAAACTCCAACGGGTGCACGCGGTCGTTCACAATGACACGGACCGACTCTTCCTTCGCATGTCTGCACTGCAGCTTCTCCACGTAGAGTCGGGCTGCGAAAGGTACACTCCACGCTGCTGAATAGCCATGCGTCTTCTTTGTATCCTCAATTGTGGTGTTCGACAGCGGTTTCGTTTTGTTGTATAGACCAAGCGCAGCTAGAACACCGCTGATGTCGTTGTCGTGGCTGAAGTCGGCGTACACCTTGCGGTCGAGCGGGAACGTCTTGGGGTCGGAGTCGAGCGTGCGGTTCGTGTTGGTGTTGTCGTCGACAGGGTTGTTAGTCAGACGCGCCAACAGCTCGTTGACGTAGCCGACGCCCTGCGTGGGACCGAGCGGGTTGCCGACGCTGTATCCGTAGTACTTGCCCAGCGTCTGGAAGTAGTCATACTCGCGCCATTCCTTCACCTTGAAGATCTTGCAGAAGTCGGACAGCTTTGCAGACGGGTGTGCTAGTGTGTCGAATGGACACATGTCCATCAGATAGATGATGGACGTCGCGCTGAGGTTCGTTCCGAGAGCTGAGTTGATGCGTTCTTGGATGGGTGGGACGAACATGTCGGCCCAGACCTGCTGCGCCCTGAGTCCGAGACCGTGGTGTGGGCCGCCTTCGAAGGCGGGACAGACGTCGTGGGAGAGGGTGTTGTTCCGTGTCGGGCCTTCTGGGATCACCACGTCGATGTTTCGCGGCTCCTCTTTCAGGGACTGCGCAACGCCCATAAGCCACTTTTCCGCAGACTCGACCACGCGATGCTGGCCCCCTGACCGCACGAAGGGTACGTTCCCGTTGATCAGCTTCTGATACCGTTGGTAGAAGTGCGCCCCGGAGTTGACCATCTCCTGCCGTCCAGCATCTGTCAACTCATCCGCACCCAGGGTATAGTCATAATCCTTGAGGAACTCGAATTCCTTCGGGTAGGTTGTAGTCGTGTTCTGTATTTCGGCTAGGAGGATGTGGTACGCGATCGATTTGCCTAGTGTTGGGTCGCGACCGCCGTGGCGGGAGAGGACGTTCGCAAAGGTGACTTCGCAGCCCTTGGGAGGAGCTACGTCGATGTCTGAGGGAACCGAATACCAGAGCGAGTATTGCCCCCAGAAGTGCGATTTCTTGGGACTACATCGGTAGCCTTGGTCGATGGTGTCGCACGACTTCTTGGGACGAGAGAAAGTGAAGAGACTGGCGGTTGTCAGCTTTGCGTGCTCCAGCATGTTGGTGCTTCGTACCCATGGACGCAATACAGGACCACACATGCGCCAACCACGAGAAGAACCCGACGCCCAAAGCCCTTCGGTCGCTGTTCGCGTCGAGATCTGTTTGAAAGAGGCTCCTTCTCGCTCATTGGGAGCGGAGCATAGTCTTGCGAGCGATTGTTGCGCATCCTGTTCCACGCCTGCGTCATCTAAGAGATGGTTTGGTGACGGTATACGATGCGAGTGGCATTGACGCGCTGCGTACTTCGGCACTGACGTATGGCCATCATGGTGTTTCGGCAGAAACCGTGACCGCCAAGCCGACGCCCGGGCCCCATCCTCAAACTCCGCCAGCACTCTTCAATCCATGCCTTACACTCGCTGTCATCTGATCTCGTCACATATCTCCAAGCCCATCTCCAAGAACACGCTCTTGACGCGCAATCTCCGGCTAGATACGGTCGCGTCCGCTTGCCGACACCAGTTAGGCCTGTGTGCAATTGCGCGATGTAACGCCGTTTCGTCAGCGCGAGATAGTCGTCGCTATGGCGCCTGATTGGCTTCTACCCCATGTTTTGGCCCCTGTGGACACCACCACCGGGCCTCTTATCTGTGGATGAACCACAAGTAAGCATTGACAAGCTTCCACCGACCTGGTCGCCATGCCTGTTCGGTGCAGCCGACGTCAATGGCCGCATGGCTAAGAGCACGGCTTCGCGCATCCTTCCGGATCGCATCTTCACGTCCATGTGTTTATAGAGACTGTCTGCTCCGTCGTCAGCTTCCTGTCATTGGTATCACGTCGCGCGGACCCGGTGGCTACCTGCATACGCCATCATGAAACCCGCTGAACGGCACACGCTGGACGATGAAGCCCAGTTGCAGGCTCTCGGACACAAGGGCGAGCTCAAGCGCAACTTCAGTCTTTTGTCTATGCTTGGACTCGCTTTCGCCATCTTGAACTCGTGGACCGCGCTTTCGTCTTCAATCGGACTGGCTTTGCCATCTGGTGGCTCTACAAGCGTCATCTGGGGACTTGTAACCGCCGGCATCTGTAATCTGTGTCTGGCCGCATCGCTGGCCGAGTTCCTATCAGCATATCCTACTGCTGGCGGACAGTAAGTACCTTCAGTCAGCTTTCGCATCATCAACTCACGCATCGCAGATACCATTGGGTTGCCGTCATTACCCCGCGGAAATGGGTTCCCCTAGCCTCTTTCATCACCGGCTGGATCAACGTATCCGGATGGCTCGCCTTGACTACCTCCGGCGGCCTCCTTGCGTCCCAACTCATTTCCGGTCTCATCGCGTTGTTCCATCCCGAGTTCACGCTGCACGCATGGCAGGTCTGGCTGATTTACGTCGCTTGGACTCTCATCGCCTTCGTCATCAATGCGTTCATGAACAACCTCCTCCCCTACGTTAATCGAGGCGCATTTATATGGTCCATCGGCGGGTTCGCGATTGTCTGCATTACAGCCCTGGCATGCTCATCTCCTAACTACGCCTCCGCCGAGTTCGTCTTCACCGAGTTCATCAATGAGACGGGCTGGCCTGATGGTGTCGCTTGGCTCTTGGGCTTGCTCCAGGGCGGTTTCGGACTTACCGGCTACGATGCTGTCGCGCATATGATTGAAGAGATTCCGAATGCGTCAGTCGAGGGCCCGAAGATCATGATCTACTGCGTCTGTATCGGAACTGTCACCGGCTTCATCTTCCTCATGGTCCTGCTATTCGTGTCCGGCGGCGACGCGGAAGCCATCATCTCTGCAGCTCCTGGCCCACTTCTACAAATCTTGTACAACGCCACAAGCAGCAAAGCTGGAGCCGCATGCCTCTTGATGTTCCCATTGATCTGCATTCTCTTCGCGGAGATTGCCATCATGACTACCTCTAGTCGCATGACATATGCATTCGCTCGAGATGGTGGCCTTCCATTCTCCAGGGTTTTCGCCAAGGTACATCCACGACTCGGCCAACCGCTCAATGCTCTGATCCTGGCTGCGACCCTGACCATCCTGTTTGGATTGATCTTGATCGGGTCCAGTAGCGCTTTCAACGCCCTCATCTCATCATCAGTCGTCGCCTTGGGCGTCAGCTACGCCATTCCCGTCGCAATCAACGTCTGCCGCGGCAGAAAGATGCTTGGACCTAGGTCTTTCGTTCTGCCTGGACCCTTGGGCTGGATCGCCAACTTGATCGGCATCGCATACACAATCATCACCACCGTTCTGTTCCTCTTTCCTCCTGAGCTCCCTGTTTCAGCGTCCAGCATGAGTAAGTTCCAGTATGAGTGTGCTTGGATCTCACTAATAACGCTAGACTACTGCGTCGTTGCTTTCGGCATCATACTGTTCATCAGTACCTTCCAATGGTTCATCGACGGGCGCAAGAACTTTACTGGACCGCGGGCGGATGTCGATCTTGAAATCTTGGAAGCTATGCAGAGCAACGAGCCAAACGGTGCTTCGCTCCAGCATTCCAAAGTCCCTGGTGACGATATCAGCAAATAGATGAAGCGGCCGCATATAGCAATATTGCATGTCTATACCCTTGCGCAATGCAATGTGTTTCCTGTCGCAACAAGTCTGGATCCCGCTCCGTCACGACACATTTAGTGAAAGCACGAACTAACTCTCCCACAATAGTATTGACACAACGTCATATGCAAGAGTCGAACCGCCACATTCACTATTCTTGGTATTGTTATTGATGGCGCTAAAGCTTCCGCGCCTAATGCACCATATCTCGACCTCTTGTTCACAACACTGTTCCACTCTCACTACCCTTTCCGATACGCTTTCCACGCACATCAACCCTATCGCAGACATAGTTTCACAAGAAAGCCACTCGCCGATAGCAAAGATGTTTAATCCCATCCGCAAGCTCTTGAGTTTCTGGAGCGCCGCCGACGCGAGCGTCACCACATCGTCCAACGACGCATCAACCAAGGATGTAGCGACTGAGAGCACTGCGTACCGCGCCGCCTGCAATCATGCCGCACCTCCTACACGATACGCCAGCGGCGAGTTCAACACCACACCGTCTCCGCCGCCCAATGCTGCGCTATCCGCATACCTGTTCTCACAAGTGAAGAACACCAACACGTCTACATCGAGAATTAGGGTTAACATCCCGCCACCGCCCTTTCCCATGTTTAGTGCGCCGACTGGCAACGCGAACAGCGACTCTTCTACCGCATCGGACGACATCGATATGCCAGATGCAACACCGATGTCACCTCTGACACCTCCAAAAACACCTTCCCGTGATGGTGATGATATCCGACGTTCGGTCGAGACACCAACCCAAGAAGACGTTCACGGTGCAACGGCTGAAGACGATGACACTAGCGAGTCGCGCAACGACACGACCGCACCTCCATCTCCGGAGCGTGACAGCCGTACTCCTTCCCCACCACCGCGCCAACAAGACCGCCAGCCTACAACACCCACATCAGAGCCCGCACCAACCTGGCTAGACGAAATCGTCATCGAAGAAGACACCCCCGAGAACGCCCTCCCAGTCGGCTACATGGGCACCTTCCGCGGAAGCCGCCACTTCATCCCCGAGTACCCCGGCATGAAACGCTGCAGCAACCAAGTCACTCACCTCCTCCTCTGCGGCCACTGGATCGCCAGCACCGAGCCCTGCGGCGCCAACTGCAAGAAGCAAGACCACAGCCACAAACAGTTCAAATGCCCAACCTGCAACGACATCGTCCGTAACATCCTCATGGGATCTTTCCAACCCGCGGACTCGATGAGACTGAGGGAGTTCAGGAAGCAGAAAGATATCAAGTTTCTGGCTTGCTGTGTCGAGGCGGTTGTGAGGGCTGCACCGGAAATTAAGAATGGGGTTACGGAGGCTGTGGCTGGGTTTCTCTGCACGGATTCTGGGCGGGAGTGTGAGGGGGCGGAGAATCCTGATCCGAGTGGGAATGATACTATTGAGGAGATTGTAAGGGATATGCAGGAGCGGCATGAGCGGAAGCAGCGTGAGAAGAGGGCGAGAGAGGAGGAGGAGGAGTTGAATATGCATGAGAAGAGGGCTAGGGATGAGGATGCGAGGGATGGGAATACCGATAAGGAAACACGCTCGAACGGGGATACACCGGGGGGTCGTAAGCATGAGCGAAACGACGCATCCGCGGGTGAGAACGAGACGCAGGATACTTCACCTCCTACCAACAAGAAGCGCAAGACGTCCCTGGAAACCCACCGCGAGCCCATCACACCATCTACCCGCGGCACGAAGCGTCGTTCCCCATTCTCTCCCTCCTCATCACCTTTCTCCTCCTCCTCCCCCACCGCCTCACCCTTCGCCTACCTCGCCAACTCCAGGCCCCCCTCCCCACCATATCCATCACCACCACCCCCGAAGAAGAGGGTCTTCGAGAAGCCCGATCCCGCGTTCGGCGAAGCCAGCTTCGTCATCGCGCCGCCTCATGTCGTCGGACCGCTTATGCGAAAGCGGCATGCCGATGTTTATGTTGAGGGGGATATTGAGCGGGAGAGTAAGCGCAGGAGGAGTCAAGAGAATGAAGTGAATGAAGTGGAGGGTGAAAGGGGAGGGGAGGGGATGGGGAGCGAGAGGATGAGGGCGAAGAGTTTTGAGACTTTTAGGAGGGCGTGGGATGGGAGGGAGGAGGATGAGGAGGGGGAGTGTGAGTTGTAGGGCGAAGGGATGGATGTGTGGGATAGAGGACGCGGAGAGGTGTTGATGATGGATATCGTTGATGGTTCTGCGGGAGTTCAGTTTGCTGGGAGCGGTGTATTTGCTTGCATGCGATTTTGCGATTATTCTTCTGCGGTTAACAACATTGCGATTTCGAAAACTGTAACGCGGTATTCATGGCCCGTGGTGACGAGTCCAAGATGAACGTTATCACCTTGGTCATGTCAAAAGCCGAACACCTTAACCTTTAAAACTACTGGAGAAACACTAATTAGTGAGAATTTTGGTGCACTGCAACCTCATGAGCCTTTGGGTGTTGTACTCCGTAAATGTAGATGTCCAGTAGATGGTGTGTTTTGGTGAAAGTAGAGGGGTTCCCAGTTTCCAACATGTCGGAAAGTTCGGAACAGTTCCGCGGGGATGCGAAAACGTTGGACGGCACCACAAAAGCCAAACACGGAAATACAATCGCATCAATCAATGCTTATGACCGCCGGTACTTACACATGGCTCTCAAAATCCAACTACCGTGTATCGCACTTCGCCGCATACCCCACCTTTGCCTCTTGCATCTTAGTAAGGATTCGCCAAGAGCCCTTGCAGATCCCTGTCACATTCTCGGACAGCCCACCTAAAGCGATCCAAAGCATGTCACATATCAGTCATCTCCGCCCTACCCTCTTGCGGCGTATATAGCTCCCCATGTGCGCCCCTCCCAATGTTGGACGAAGCTCTCCAAATCGACACTCCCCATAATGGCGCAAATGGCTAGGATACGGGCGGGTCCGGCCGCGCTGCGACTGCGACGGGCGGTTGGTGGCAATCAGCTATTACGACCAGTATCACGACCGCTTGCACACCCGACTACGCGACTGTCGATCGGCGCATTACGGACAAGATGCATTGCGACGAATGCTGCGATCCAGGAACCCGATGTGGATTTTCCCGCGAGTGTGCCTCCAGTTTCGGTGCCGGCGTCGTCGAAGGTGGAGGAGCGGAGGAAGGCGATTAAGAACGCGAAACCTTTTTCTGATTTCCTGACGGATACGTTCAATCGGCAGCATGACTATCTCCGTATCAGCATTACCGAGCGCTGCAACCTGCGGTGTCTGTACTGCATGCCAGAGGGTGCGCTTCCACCATCTGCACAGCAAAACGATCTGCTAACAAAAACACAGAGGGCATACCGCTATCACCCCCCGCCAACATGCTCACCACGCCCGAGATCTTCTACCTCTCCTCCCTCTTCGTCTCGCAAGGCGTAACCAAGATCCGGCTCACAGGCGGCGAGCCCACGGTCCGCCGCGACATCGTCCCGCTCATGCAGCAAATCGGCAGTCTGCGCCCGCGCGGCCTCCGCGAACTTGCCCTCACGACCAACGGCATCTCGCTGCACCGCAAACTAGACGCCATGGTGGAAGCTGGTCTAACTGGCGTCAACCTCAGCCTCGACACCCTAGACCCGTTCCAATTCCAGATCATGACCCGCCGGAAAGGCTTCGACGCCGTCATGCGCTCCATCGACCGTATACTCGAAATGAATAAACTCGGCGCGAATGTCAAGCTGAAGGTCAACTGCGTCGTCATGCGCGGCCTCAACGAGCGCGAAATCCTCCCTTTCGTCGAAATGGGCCGCGAGAAAGACATCGAAGTGCGTTTCATCGAGTACATGCCCTTTGGCGGGAACAAGTGGAGCGAGAACAAGATGATCAGTTTCCAGGAGATGCTAGACATCATCCGCACGAAATACCCCGGCCTAAGACCCGTCCCTGGACACAAAAACGACACGAGCAAAACATACGAAGTACCCGGTTTCGTGGGCAAAGTCGGCTTTATAACGAGTATGACGAACGATTTCTGCGGGTCCTGCAATAGGCTTCGCATTACGAGTGATGGGAACCTTAAAGTCTGTTTGCATGGTAATGCGGAGGTGAGCTTGAGAGATGTGCTCAGACAGGGTAACAATGGCGAGCCTATTGATCAAGAAGCGTTTGAGCGTATCAGGCAGATTGAGATGGACAGACATGAGGGCCGGCTTAGCGACGAAACGGTGCTGGGCTGGGGCCAACGCGAGCGCGAACTTTTGGACGTGGTCGGCGCTGCCGTGAAGCGCAAAGCTGAAAAGCACGCCGACCTCGACGACCTTGCCAACATGGAGAACAGGCCTATGATTTTAATCGGTGGGTGAACTTGGTCTTCTTCTTCTTTTTCTCTTCACGAACAGACACGACGGTCATGACAGTCATGGTTGGATGTCGTATGATACCACGGCGGTCACTGCATAGATGGCGTTTTGAGCGTTTTTCTTGCGTCTGAGATAACACTGTCGCTGCGCCTAGACATGGGAATTTGGCTATATACACCAATCATATACCCAATTCAGTCCTCATCTGAGACCGCCCAGTCTGTGATGTACCTTGCTGACCTTAACTAGACAACAAGCCCTTGTCCAGTCTGGATTGCCAATGGCCTACATCGCGAATACCTTCCTACAGCCACTCCAACCACTTGCTACCGCGCTCCAGCATACCCACCCCACCCCTCCCTTTCCTACCCACCCCATCCCACGCCACACCAACAACTATCCGCGCCTTCTCGACCCGCGCCTTCTCCACATCCCCCACCCCCTTCGCAAAGAAAACCTACCAACTCAAACGCCTCGCCAAAGCCAAAAAACTCCTCAAGAACATCGACACGTCCCGATCCACAGACGCCTTCGGCGTCCAACAGTTTCTAGAAGATGTTGAAGCACCAAATGAATCTGAAAACCTCCTGAAGGATATCGAGAAGAAGATTGCGAATCTACATCGTCGAATTGTGGAGGTGGAGAGGGGGACGCCGCTTGCTTCTGCTTCTGAGTTCCGGGGGCCGGACCCGCCAGTATCGCCGGGACTGCGTGTGGCTGATGCGTTCGATGCCGTTGGCACTGCAGTCGGTAACGATGCGACGGGACCAAGAAAACGAAAAGGCAAAAACGAGCGCGAACGAGCCCGAAGACGGGAACAAGAAAAATACCGGAATGAGAAGATGAAAGAACTTGGTGTGCTGTTAGCGGAGTACAAACAACAAGCCGCAATCGTCAAAGCAGAAGCAGAGAAAACAGCCGAGATGCGGAAACGACGCGAAGCAGTACTATCAAAGAAACGCTTACTACTTCGCCAACTACACCAACACGAAGAGGAGGAGCGCAGGGCCAATCTCGTGCGCAGAACGAGCCAGACGGATAGGGAGGCTGGGTTGCCGGACGGGTTTGAGCTTGATGATGTACTGGATGATGCTATGAAGAAGGTTAAGAAGATGCCGATGCATCCGCCGAGGGAGGAGAGGGAGTATAAAGAGAGGGAGGTTAAGGATGTGGATGTCCCGAGGGCGAAGAGGATGGTGTGGCCGAAGGGGACGGGGGCTGTGAGTGTGTTGAAGAGGGGTGGGGATGGGGATGGGGAGGAGGTGGTTGGGGAGGAGGTTATGGAGAGGGAACGCGCTGACGCGACGTCTATTGAGACCGTTGTGGATGAAGAACGATTTGACGCGAGCGACTTTCTCACATCTGAATCGACCCAGGAACATACAGCGACTACTACCAGGACCTCAACCGACGAGCCCTCTGCAGAAGAACTAGTTGACGCGGCTGCCGACGACTTCACGAGTTCAGTCGCAAACGCAGGAGATCCCTTCCCTCGATCATCCGCCCAACAAAAGCCATCACCCGACGCCAGCAAACCCATCAAGAAAGACACTCCACGCCCACCCTCATCCCCACCGTCCTCCAAGGATGACCTCCGCCTCACCATCCCCCCCTCAGGCATCGTCCCCATCGACGCCGACTTAATCCTCTCCCTCGACGCCCCCGTCCCAGCCCTCCAAGCCCAAATCCTCGCTCTCCGCAACCGCCTCAAATCCTCCTACCCGCGCATCGACAACCTCCCCTACGACGTCTGGACCTCGTCCAACAAACGCACCCTGCAAACCTGGCTCAAGATCCTGATCAGTCGGTGGAACGAGCGGTTTGACCATGTTGATGGTACTGGTCAGGTGGATAAGCGCATTGTGGATGAGAGGGTCAAGGAGGTACTGGATAGTATGGTTAGGGAACATGATTTGGGGAATGAGGCTGCGGAACGGATGGCGGTGAGGTGGCATGAGGCGTTTGAGCTGAGGTGGGATATGAGGGGGGATGCGGAGGGGGTGTTGGATTGGGAGGAGATGGAGGCGGGGGGGTTGGGGTTTTTGGGCGTTGAGACTGAAGAGGTGGATGGCGGGGTTGAAGTGCCGGTGGGTGGGGTTGGTGAAGAGGTGGATGTCGAGAAGAAGAATGCTGTGTCTGCGCCTGTGAGGACGGCGGGGAGTGGTGTGACAACGAACGGGGTCATGGGGCGGAGGATGTATTCCACGTCGACGAGAAGGGGGTTTTGGTCTTGGTCCAGGATTTTGGGGACGGAGGGGAAAGACGAAAAGAACGAGAAGAAAGAGGATGTGAAGCCGGGACCTAGGGTGGACGCCAAACCAGACAGCCCGACTCAGCCCAAGCCCGCTGCTACACCCAACGCCAAACCAGTCGCGAAGCTCGATACGAAAACGCACGAGAAGACCAACGTCCAACCCATCGCCAAACCAGACCTCAAGCCCGACCCAAAGCCCCAATCAAAGCGCTCCGCAGAGTCCGTCCCACCAAAGCCCGACGCCAAACCCGACGTCAAAGCAGACACAAAAGATAACGCCAAACCCGACCCTCGCAAAATTAGAGAGGACTCACCTCGGATGCATCGGCCTCCCGGTCAGGGCGTAAGTAAGACCGTCTTGCAGAAAAAGAGGAGGCAGGCTAAGAAGATGGAGGATGAGAGACGAATGACTGAGGTACTGGAGCGAGGACGAGAGGGTGGGGATGAACAGATGGACGTCCAAGAGCAAGGGATAGAAGATGAGAAGAGAGAGTTGGGCGCACATGAACATGCAGGAGAATTCGAAACCAAACAGCCGCCCCAACAGCCGCCCCAACAGCCGCCAATGGTCGAACGCGCAAACGCCAAATCACTGCAATACCAAGCGGACAGCATCAAAAAGGCCGAGGAAGTCTTACCTAAGCCCGTACCACGTACCCACCAAATCGTACCTAACCAAGACACCGAAACCGACACCGACAAACCAGCCTTCGTACGCGCAAAGAGACCCCTCCAGCCCCTACCTGGACTCAGACGCTCGAGGCATGTTGAATGGAGGAAATTGGAGCGGACAGAATTGCCCGGGCCGCCTAGACATATTGTGAAGCCCCAGACAGACAGCAAGGGCAAGGCTCCAGGAACGAAGTCGCTGCAAGACTTTCTGGATAGCATGAATGAGGTTGCTGCGCATTCGCCTTTTGAGGCGGAGCCGAGACAACAGCAACGTCCTTTATCGATGCTGGAGGGGGTGAACGAAGAATCACAACAACAATCATCCTCCGCTCAACAACCCCTTCCACAGACCGGACCTACCTCCTCCCAGCCTTCCCCCTCTCCCTCGCCCTCTCCCTCCCAACCTCCCCCATTCCTCCCCCACCTCACACCCTCGGGATCCGCACACATGGTCAGCGTCTCTGCTAAGGAACACACGACCCGCACCGCCATCGCCGTCGGAACAGTGTATTTCACAAACGCCGTGCCCCTCCGCCTCATCCGCTCAAACGCCAACAAAAAGGGAGATGTGTTGGGTACATCGCGCATCGCGGGCATAATGGCCGCAAAAAAATGCCCAGACCTAATCCCCCTCTGCCACCCCATCGCCCTAACCCACGTCAGCGTTGAACTACGCCTTTTTGGTGATAAGGGGGATCCGCGGACAACAACAACAACAACAACGGAAGGGGAGATGGAGGGGATTATGGGGGTATTGGACGGGTCGGGGGTATTGGACGGGAAGGGCAAGGGCAAGGGGAAGATGGGTTTTGGGGGTGTGAACATCGAAGCCAAAGTCCAATGTACAGGCCCCACGGGTGTGGAGATGGAGGCCCTTACTGCGGTTATGGGCGCGGCGCTTAGTGTGGTGGATATGTGTAAGGCGGTGGATAGGGCGCAGAGGGTGAGTGGTGTTAGGGTTGTGATGAAGGAGGGGGGGAGGAGTGGGGGGTGGAGGGAGGGGGGGTGGAGGAGTTGGCAGGAATGAAGGGGGATATTTAGGTGGAAGAGGGTGGGTGTAGGATTGTGTGGTTGTAAGAATAGAGGGGTGTATTTGTATGTGCTTCAGATTTCTGCGTTGACGTGGCACTCTGTTGTTTTGATTATGATTTCGGCGTTTAGGGGGTGCGTGTCTATGACCAGATATAGCATTTGCTTGGTGTTCTGCTTCTCTCTGCGCTTATGAAGAACTGGCAAGGTATCCAAGGGCTTCGCTTGCGACTCTCTTATAAATTTGGTGATACTTGGTTGTCTGAACTGTCCTAAAATAGCGGATAAGACAAGGTAGAAGAGCTATTGAGAGCAGCGTTTGCATGTACATGCACGCCCTTCGAGGGATTGAGTCAACTTCACCACAGCAGTGCATGAGTCACGATAGCTATTTTAATGCGCAAAAACCACCACACGATACTAATTGTGGTATGAATTGTGTAAGAACCTTTCTTAAAGGGCGTGTATGTATAACCTGATCAGTAATCCAAAGGCGGAGTGGTAGGCATGACTCCGTCGGCGCCTTTGCGACTCCTGTCAGCCTTGCGTACGCACACATGGCCATGCAGTCTGCCATCGATTGCGGGAACGCGCAATACCGGAAACTCTATCATGCTCTGCTATGGCGAATAGCTCGAGCTGACATGTGAAACAGACGCAGGTAAGGCACCAGACGATCTCAGGGCAGCGATAGTGGCAGCCCGATGTGAAGCGCGCCTCGTGATTGGTCGCCGGAGCCCATATGCCGTGTAGTCCGTGCGGTCCGGGCAAGGGTTCAGGCTAGTGACATCACTTTCTCAACATCAGTGGGGGATGGCCTCGAGACGTCACTCGCCCGCGCATCTCGACTGCGCGCGATCTCCAGCTGTTCTGCCGCTATGAGTATAGAGCCAGTCTTAGGACCCTGAGCGCTTGAAACTGCGGGTCCCAAAACAACGTGTTGCATGCTACCGTAGAGTTTGTCGGTGTGCCCTCTTCATAGGGCGCATCGCGCCTTCCCAAAGCAGGGTTTGCCTGAATTGCGCCAATTCAAGACGACGACTGCCACGCAATTTCCCTCATCACTGCCACCAAGCGCGCCATTATAGTCCTCTCTTCCCGCATCAACCGCACCTTCACCACCACACCGACTTCACCACATGCGCAACTAAACAGCCACTCCATCCCCGCCATGACCAGCGTACTAAAAGGCGGCTTCGGCTCGCCAAACGGCGCGCCATTAATCGCGACCAACTCAGGCACCGAGTTCGTCAACACCGTGTGCCCACTCAAGAGCGCCCTCGATGGCTACGACAACACGCTCCCCTGCAGCAAGCAGAAGATCCACGTGCCGCAGAACTTCTGCGACGCCATGGCCATCCGCGAGGAAGTCTACGGCGAGCAGGGCGTGCCCCTCGAAGCCGAGTTCGACGAAGACGATGCCCGCAGCTGGCACTGGGTCGCTTATGCGTCTGTCGCCACACACTCAACCCACCCTCCCAAGACACTGCGCCGCTCCGACTCTGGCAACACTCCAGCTGATGACGCCCGCCGCGCCTCAGCCACCGCCACCCGCGTCCCCGTCGCGACCATCCGCCTGATACCCCCGCCCCACGGCCCAAACAAGTACGTCGAGGACGACAAGACGGACAAGCATGCCGATGCAGACCCACCGGGCGAGGAGCAGGAGAGTAAGCACCCGCCAGAGCCGTACATCAAGCTCGGCAGGCTCGCGGTCCTAGCGCCCTACCGCAGTCTCGGCCTCGCGAAGCTGCTCATCAACGCCGCCCTCGACTACGCGGGATCAAATCCTGATCTCATCTACCGGCCCCCGTCTCCCACCGCGCTGGAGATGGCGCAGATACTCGGCAACAATAAGGAGCGGGAGATCACCTGGCAGGGCTTGGTCATGATCCACGCCCAAGCCAACCTGCAGAGTATGTGGGAGAAACACGGCTTCCACGAGGAGCTGAAGAACGATGACGGCGAGGTTGAAATACCAGCAGAACCCCACTGGATCGAAGAGGGTATTGAGCATGTTGGCATGTGGAAGAGGTTGCCGATTGAGAAGAGGAAGAGGTTGTCGCTTTCTTCCCTGGAGTCGGGGTCTTAAAAGTTTCGTTATGTTTTTGATTTACTTACGCGTGTTTGATAGGTTCTGGCTTGGAGACGTTCCAGTTCCAAGCATCTACGTCAGGCCATGATGTTCACGCTCATTTCACGTACGGAGGATTCAACATTGCTTATACCCCACACTGCACGATTACGACGATACGGCCGGATTTCAACATTAACTGTTTTGCGAATAGAAGAGGATGAAGATGGAAGGAAAGGCAAGACATAGAGGCGTCATGGTACATGACTATAGACTAGTAAATCCTTCTCCTTCTCGCACATCATTCACAGATCCAATCCAAGATTCGCGTTTCTTCATATCAATCTTCGTCCCATATTACCGCGAATCGCCATGAACTGGGTGAACAGAACGCCCAAATCATTTCTCAGAGTCCCGCGCCGTTTTCGATCCCATTCCAACCCCGTCTACATCTTTTAGCGAACTTTCACGTCTTGGTATTCCTTCACTAGCCCGAAACTGGAGAAGCGAACTCGGGTCCTACGCAGTGCCTGTTGGTATGCGATTTATGCGACTTCCTCTTGGCCACCAGCCGAGTAGTACCCGCACGGCAGAAAGTTGCCGATAAGTAGTGTGTTGCGCCAGAGGGAGACGCATCCCGCCAGTGCGACCACGCACCGACCACACACCGGCCTCGTCACATTCACAGAACGTGGGCACAGTAATACAAACGACGCACTAATATACTTCCCGCTGTCAGAAACATTTCACTCCATACCCCCGCTAGATCAACTTCCAAAAGTAACAATTCGGTACCGTGCACCCCGGGTAGAGCAGTGGACGTCTCTTCTCTTTACTTCAATTTGCCTGCTCTATACTGCCGGCCTTATTATATCAATGGAACGTGACCACAGTTGTACAAAGGACACACTAAAGTCTTTCCCGCTCTTGAAATCTTTCACTCAAAGGTTCCACTAGATCACATCGCAAACAGAGCAATCCGGTACCTTGCATCCTTCCCGTTTCCTCCCTTTTCTACCACGTCACAACGGGAACCCGCTGCTCTTCCACTGCTTCACCAACATCGCCTTGCACCACACTCGCTTCAATGTCCGAAGACACCCCCACCAAACCCGCCTTCAAGGCCCATCTCCTCAAGCTCCTCCGCCTTTCCAAGAAACCTGTCGTCATGCTTCCCTCTCTGGGGACCATCGGCCTCGTCCTCGTCATCACACTCACCGTACTCCTACCGCAAAATGTCCACTCCATCGAAATCCCCGGCGCAGACAACAACCACAACTACCTCGTCGCCGTCTCCCACTTCCCCTTGACAGATTCTACAAAAAAAGATCCTTATCGCCCGGAGCAAGACCGCAGGGTCATGGTCAGCTTGTATATGCCTGTACCCAGGAAACAGTGCTCTGCAATGGGCACGCAGGAGTACATGCCGCCTCAAACCGCGAAGATAGCAAACGAGCAGTTCATTGAAGGCAACGAGCGGGAAGCAGGTGTTTTTGAAACCATGACATACTCGTCTTGCGTTGGTAGTAGTAGCGGCGGCGGCGGCGGCGGCGACGTCAGCAAAATCCCCGTCGTAGTCCTAGAACCACACGTCGACACGAGCAGGTTGATGTATTCGACAATGGCGCGCTACATCGCGGCTAATGGTGCTGCGGTCGTAGTCATCGACCACCCCGGCGACGCGTCAATCGTCCAATTCACATCCTCGCGAACCCGGGATCTGGAAGTTGTGTATAACAGCGGGACGGTGCCTTTATCTAATCTCTCCCCTCTCACGCAGTATAATCAAACCGTCGAAATGGCAGTCTCAACACGCATATCAGACATCGCATTCGCCCTCAGCCAAATAAACAGCACATCCCTGTTGCAACGCCAATTCCCTGCCCTCCACTTCACGGGTAGTCTAAACACAGAGTCCTACGGTATCATAGGCCACGGTCTCGGCGGCACAGTCGCAACCAGCCTCAGCCTCTTCCCCTCCCTCCTCTCCCCAACCATGCTCAACGCTACAAACGCCCCCACCGCAACCGCAAGATTTAGTATCAATCTCTCCGGCACACCCCCCCTCCTCAACTCCTCCACCACCAACACTACCAACACCCCGCTCTTCTTCTTCGGCCGCGCCGACTTCCGCCGCGAACACGACATCAACTGGCCGACCACGTGGTCGCATCTAACGGGTCCAGCGACTGAATTCGATCTCGACGACTCTGCCATTTTCGATGCGAGCGATCTACCGCTGATCATGGAGTTGGCGAGGGAAGAGGCTGGGAAAACGGGGGCGGTGGGAAGGGGGTTGAGTGGGAATAGGCCGGCGGAGGGGGCGAGGGCGGTGATTTGCTTTTTGGAGAATGTTGTTAAGGAGATGGTGGGGTAAGTTCTTTGTGATGAGATGTAATTGGAGGTGGGAATGGATGCTGACATGTTCTTAGGCTTGATGGACAGGGGAGGAATGTTGGGGATTGTATTAGGATGTTTGAGGGGGTTAGGCCGTATCCGGGGTATGGGAAGGGGAGATGATGAGGTCGTTAAGAGCGGATAAGCCTCTAGAACACTGTTGCATCTAATAAGCGCTCGAGACTTCGTATTCACGCTCTTAACACATAGTGAGCAGAGATTTTAACAACCAAGCCAGATCAAGCTTATCAATCAAGCCAACATTTCCAATTCATTAAGTCAATTTACACCTTTTTTAACAATCTTTTACTCTTTCGAGTCAAATTATTGCTTATCTAGGAATATATCCTATTGAGTTGCTCTACCCTTTCTGAAATACGCTCTTAAGCCAATCCAAGCTCGCTTCCTGAACTTAATAAATTTGACTGTTAGCAAGTCTAATATTAAGCGCACATGGATTGGTGAAACGGAAATACAAACTACGTTTTGGAGTGTGTTAATTGTCTCATTCGCCGATAAGAATGCGCGTAGCCCTCGTAACTTGTCGTATGCCTCTGAGCGTCGACAATTTTTACAGTTTTGTCTTTGGGAGACGTTCCTTGAATATCCCATGCTTGGCATAATGATTAGCTACTACGCCGTGAGCAATCGATTCGATTAGAAAGGCTTCCAATGCATCTCGATCGGCCATCATGTAGTCCGCGAGCAATGAGAACGACTCTGATCCACCATGGAATTTCAGACACAAACTCCATACTTCAAACGAACCCACCACGACAGCGAGGAGTATATCGTCATTCTGATCATTCGTACAGCTCCCAATATCGAATCGCTCAAGGAATGCCCTCAACCCGATGGATATGGCCCATGGCGAAAGTAGAATTAGTTCCCTTTGAATTGATGAGGGCTGCTTGAGGAGATGGTTGTGAGCAATGCATTCAAAAACTTCGAACAATCTTTTGTCCATTCTGAAGGCATCTGCAATCCATGAGGGAGGATATGTGTCTAGCAATGGGTCCGACAAGGGGAAGCGACTAGGGTCCACCAAGGGGAAGCGACTGGCTTGCTCTGGAAATTCCGGGGAAGACGTAGGATCAGTCACTCCTGGGGTCGCCGGCCTATGAAAACATCGAACTTTGTGCCACCACATCATTGTTTGTCCAAAATTCCCCTTTGCAACAGATATATAATCTGCAGGTAGAAACTTGGATGCCTGTGAAGAGATAATCAACCGCGATTTTGACAACCGCAATTTTAAAAGTGCCTTTTGGGCCTGGTCCTGCGAATTGCGCCTCCCTGGAATTGCGGGTAGTAGTATGTGGTATAAATGAGACATGTGGTTTACGAGAGAGCTTAAGAGATGTTGCTTAGCAGGAATGTCTACTGTTGGAGTGTTTACCATAGTAGAGAGTCCTTCGTACAGAACGTTCAAGTGGATCATTGCCATCTGCCAATCTTTGGAAGCAATTAAGCAATCGAGAACTCTGAGAACGTCCCTTTGCAACCAACCAAGCCCTTTTTCCATGAGGTGTATCGAAAATGAGAGCTTTGGCCAGAAGAAGCAGATTGCATCTTTCCATCTAACCGCGCTGAGCAAATAACTGAAGCGTATCGAGGAACTGAAATTCGGCGAGCCTATCTGTCTCGTGTGTAGGGGCTCGAGAATGTCAAGGAATCCGCGAAGATTGCCCACAAGATTCGTGATGAAGCACTCAAAGTCACATTCCACAGGCAATGGCCGAGAGAAACCGGATCGCACTCCGGTAGAGATCTCAATGTCAAATAAAATGTCCGTTGGTACATCGGCGAAGATCGACATCTCCGAGAATTTCGTTCGGACGTTGCACGTAAACTTTGGAAGTCTTGTACGATCCGAATACGTCTTCAAGATATCCTCACATCGAAGGCAAATGTCTCCCGTCATAATCGTGCACTTCGAACATGGTCAGCAAGATACAGAAGATTCAACTGGAAAGACAGTTAAATACCTTTCGTTTGCTGGTGCGACATCCAAAGCATGACGATGGCGCCTCCTCCGTGACCCGACGACGCTTCGGTTGAGACGCACTGTGCTGACGATCGGCTTTTGGATTTGTGTAAAAATAGATGTTTTCGAGGGCGCAGCCAGATTGTGTTCCGCTATTGCTAGCGCTAGATGAAACGCCGAATTTCCGTTTCGCAAGCCTTACATGTTCTCCGCCAGCTCCTGTGTGAAGTGGGGGGTTGTTTGTGCCTGTCATACCGACATCGGCCATGGCGGAATGGTCCATCGTCGGAAATGATGGTAGCTCGGATGGAGCCATGGTAAGCGAATGACCGGCAGACGAATTGAAAACTCTAATCCACAATGGACTCACACAAGAAGCTGTCATATCGTAACTTGAATTGACGGTCGGGTACGTTGTCAAATCACTGGCACTGACAGGAAATAATCCAACACCTTGCATCGGGTGGGCTGACTGTGTGTAGCGAGGCTGGAAAAGAGGATGGTTTCCCTGCTCATACTTGCTCAAAGGGGTGGCAATCGTGTCGTGATTTGATAGTGCAAATGCCATCGGATCAACAGCAGTTTGCTGACCGTATGTTGCATGACCGAAGGCATTATGGTAGAGATTTTGGGCGTTAAGAACGGTATCATCCTGCCTGCCGACGTTCTGGGTATGATCTTGGAAGGCATTTGGATATACTGTGCTCCAAACCACTTGCTCTCCAGAATGTGTACCTGGGCTTGACGCGTTTGTGTTGCTGCTTATCTGACGTAGATTCACGGGTACTGAGGGACGATCGGAAACTCCAGTGAAGCCCGAAGCTCTCTCACCGATAGCAGAGTCTGCGTAGCTAACAGTCGTTCCTTCGGTGTTAGAAGTCACAGGGAATGCCTGTGCCTTCTCTAAGATTTCGTAACGTGCTGCGGTATACCGCCATTCTGCCTCAGCAAGCTCTTGTTGTACTTCCACAGGTAGGCCTGCTTCCTGCACTAGGATGTAGTCCGTAAAGTTTGGAGGTTGCTGGTCGGACTGGAACGGTGCCAAGAACGTTGGCTGAGGGGTGTAGTATTGGTTGATGCGCGTCGAAGAATCGCCTAACGTCTGGCAACCGCCTGGCAGCGAGGAGGAATATGGCGCTACTCCGCAGGCAGCTGCTTCGAACGAGGAGTTTGTTGGCAGATGGCCTTGTCCATGTGTAGCTTCGTCTCGTTGGCGCTCTATTGCGAAATCGCGGGGATCCATGAGGTCGGCTTGCAAGCCTGACGATCCCGATGCGAGTGGAGTCTGGACTCGTTCGAGAACGGCAACGAGGAAGGCAAGGGCGCAGCAGCAAATGACAGTGTATCGTGCTGCTAGAGAGGTGCGCAACTGTACGGAAGTCCTCAAATGATTGAGGTGGTGGGCTGGAATGCGACATGCTGATAGAACGCCGAAGCGTCGTTTTATACACTGACAAGGTGAGAACCAGGCCTGTTGAGAAACAGGCAGACATCAAGGGCCAAGGCTGAGTGACAGAGGCTGAAGGACGTCGGTAACAGCTTCCGCATCCCAAAGCAGACTAGACTACGCCATCCTTCACGCTCAGGCCATGCTTCCGCAACCAGAACAGTATTAGCGTTGTTTCGGGCACTCGCTAGCGTGACATCATTACCAGCACTCTGCAGTTCCGCAACACGAAAGAGACTAGCACGATCACGACGCGACGATGCTCATCGTTCCGCAACCACATACGGATGTGCAAAGGAAGTGAGCCCCTAGACCTCGCGATGTCGCCGCGCACAGCCTTCATGCCTTCTTCCCAGGCAAACATGTTCATACCCAGGTAGATAAGAACACAGAAGCCCGCAATGTAGTAAAGGACAGAACGACCCCCAAAGGATCACAACCTATCGTTTCCGCCCCCACACCCCCTTACCACGCCGCACGGGAACAGCAGCCAGCATCCTAGCTATGTGGACGAGATCAGACGTCTTGGCACTTCTTCAACTTCTCGCCATGATTGTCTTTGCGACTGTCCATGCTGTATGGTGTTTGACCATTCATCGAGGTGCGCGTCTTCATCTTGCGCAAGATATTTTGCTGATAGCGCTCAAGTCACTATACGACGTCACGAGCGTGACAGTGCTAAAGGCCAGAAACAGCCACAATCACAGCCACTACCGCAGCCACGCAAATGATTCTTCTCCTTTGGCATTGCAGCATCCATGCGTTCCGCAAGCGACATTGAACGAGAGATTGATACTGGTAGCTCGGCTCCATGTACGGGACGGATTGGAAAGGGAACGAGGGGAGCTACATTATCATTATACCCAACAGCTAAAAGAAAAACATGTTCACATATCCTCCATCCCCAATCCACCTACAGCCTCGCCGACTCCCTAACCTCCAACCCCGCCATAATCCCGCGACTAATATAATCACTAATCGCCATATTCGTAACCATAGGATTAACCCCACTCGCACTAGGAAACACACTCGCATCCGCCACATACAGCCCCTCCGTCCCCCAAACCCTTCCCTGAGGATCAACAACGCCATCCCTCTCCCTCGCACTCATCCGACAAGTCCCCATCTGATGCGCAGAAACATACACACTCTCCGGGCTAGGCAACCCCTTATTCCTTATCTCATCAAGCCAAGCCACAAACTGCGGGTCGTTGATGCCGTCGCCAGATGAGGTTGAGACTGAGGGATCGCGGATAAACGGCCGCATGTTGGGTATGACAGTGAAGATCTCGGATGCGCCTTCCACATACTGTATCTTCGCCAGCGCAATAACACCTTCCAGCACATGTCTCTTATCATAATTACTCGTCCGATACTCGAACCTGCACCGTCCATCAACCGGATCCGGATACACACGCCCGGTATCCCTATCTCTTGCAATGGAAATATAACCGACCATGTGTTTCAGCTTCGCAGCATCAATCTTATACTGCATCGCCGACTTCCAGTCCACCCACATCAGACACGCCGATGGAACCATGTTTGTGGCTTCGAGCTTGACGCCGTGGCCGGCGTTGTCCATGTTTTCGAATTCAGAGACGACGGACGTGAGGATGCCGCCTTCCCATGGTTTTATCTCTTCGGTGTGGTAGGCGCCGAGGAAGGTGACGGGGTGCAGGTAGAGGTTTCGTCCGATTTGAGGGTTTGTGAGGCCGGAGCGGAGGAGGAGGAGTGGGGATTGCATGGTCCCGCCGGAGACGACGACGCGTTTGGCTTTTAGCAGGACGCGGCGGGTGGTTAGGGGGGTGTTGGAGACGCCGCCTTGGGCGTCGCGTGAGGTCCAGGTGCCGAGCACGCCGGTTGCAACGCGCTTGCCACTTTTGTTGGAGAAGATGATCTTCTCGGCGTGGAAGCCTTCGATGAATTTCGCTCCTGCGCGGGCGGCGTCTGGGAGGAAAGATACAACCGGACCTTGCTTTTCGCAGGAGCCGCAGCCGAAGTTGCAGTAGCCGCAGTAGTGTTGCTGGCCGCCGGTGTTCTGAGGCACAGGCGCAGCGTTCCAGCCGAGTTTGCGGGCGCCTTCGAGCAGGATCTCGTTGTTGCGGTTTTGCTTGATGTTTTTGTCTGAGACGCCCATTCGGTCGCAGACGCGATCGAGCGATTCTTGGAACTGGGCGGATGTGAAGAAGGGGAGGCCGCGGGCTGCCCATTCGCGGCGGACGTAGCCTTGGGTTTGGAGGGAGGCAGACCAGTTTACTGTTCCTCCGCCGCCGAGGGCCTGGCCTGCCACTACGCTCACTGAACTGTCGTCGGATGTTAGGAATGATCCGCTCATGAAGAGGTGGTGCCAGCCATCTAGTTCGGCCATGGGGAAGTGGTCTGGAGTCCAGTGATATGCCTTTTCTACTATCAACACACGATGTCCGGCTTCAGCGAGGTTCTTCGCCGTCACGCCAGCACCACATCCGCTACCCACGACCACCACATCTGTTTCAATAATCTCAGGCTCGTCACCTGGAGGTATCTGGATGAACTCATAGTCGAAGCCCTTTCCAGGTCTCATACCAACAGGCACACGTGGAGCACCTATTACGCGTCTCAGCGAAGGCGACGTCTTGATCCAAGCCTGCTTGGTGATAATCACCAACGAGCGGCGCAGTTGGCGAAGCGGTCCCAACCGCGCGGTAGCCCAGCCCTGGATTATCGACTCCCTTACATGGGCGGGTTGCTCGCTGATTGGCGTGAGATAGCCCGTCAAAGCCAGTGACCCCGCCCGCGTGTTGAGGACATTCAACACCATGCACAGGTCCTTTCTCTGGTTCTGCGGCATGTACATGGCGAAGACGCGCTGCAGCTCCGCTCGAAACGCCGGATCCTGACTCGCATAGTCGTCGAGATACTCCTTCACCGCCGTCTCCGCATCAGGGTCGTTTCCGGGCGCTAGAGCCCTCAGTTTGCTGACCGCAGTCGAGTACTCGGTGTCGGTTGCGGCGAGTTCAGTCTGCGTCCTCGCCGTAGAGATGGGCTTGATTGCTGGGATGACGGCATCCGTGATAGCAAGTAGCGTCCTCCATTGTTGAGGCGTGAGCGGATCCTCAGCTGGGAGCGGAGGCAGCGGAGTAGCTTTCGGCGAAACGGGCTTAGAAGGGAGTGTTGTTGACATTTTGCCACGTATGGTTTGGTGTTCAGGGATAGCCTGGATGTCGCGCGTGGACCATCAAAGGGTCTTGAAGGTGGAGCTGTCGGGCATGCTAAGGACGCAGGCGTCGTTTTGTTTAGTTTCCAACCGTGTCCACTGCGAGAGATGAAGCAACTTCCCCCGCGCCACATGCCGTGCCATTGTTGACGTCTGCTAGCCCGTGGCGGTTCGTGCCTCGGTTCAGAAAACAAAGTTCATCGACGTGTCCCGGCGAAGGGTTGCCAAGGCTGCCGTTGCTCGTGGATGTCGGAAGGACAGATTCGCCGGAGCCGCCATTGGACGTCTTTCAAAGGCTATAAGGACGTCAGGATAGGTTAAATCCTGTGATGTCTTGCATTGATCTGCCCGGCAGATCTCAGTCGTAGTCATGTTAGCCTTCGATGCGTGTGGGCCGTTGCGCAACTCAGCGTTATAGACTGCGGATCTCTCATCAATGCATTGGAAGAGCGTGCCCATGTGATCCGAAGTTCTGGCGGTATCGTGAGGTTGCAGTGGCCGGCGGCGCAGTGTTAGTGAGGCGAATCCCCGACGATGGTGGGTGGGTCGGCTCGGTCTTTGAACCAGGATGAGACGGGCGCTTCTTCATCTCGGCGAATCTGGCCGGTGTCTCCAAGACTCCAACGGAGGGAGTCGCTTATCTCTGGATCTAGCAGGAGTACTCCAACTATGCTTTCGCGCCTTGTGCAGTTGGACTGCCTATGTTTGCTCAAGTCACAACATAAGGCTCGTAACTCAAGACATTGGCCGGCCAAACTTGCATCTCTTACGCGTACTCCCCCTGCGCATGGTGTAGTCAAAAGAAACTACCGACACCCGTGCAATCTTAGAAGCTCGAGCGAACTTCGTGCGAGGCAAATCCCACCAAGGATGATTGCGCAACGTCCCCACGAATCCAATAATCCGGTTGAATCCACCCGGCAGGATCTGGTCGGTGCGCATCAGGAACATGCAGGGGACCGACTAGAGAGCCGTCTCCTTCTAGGCGAGATGAGGTTTCCACAAGGTCGCTGCGTATCAAGACACCTGTTCAATGCTCTTTGGGGGTGATTTCGATGAGAGCATTCGCACTCCAGACTAGCTGGCACTGCGCCATCAAACTGACGTTGCCCGACAGTGACCAGAGACTCAATGTTCGCCCCAATAGCTTTCCTTCGAGATCAAGCGGCTGTTGGTGCCATGTATCGAAGGCTCGCTAGCCAAGGCGCGTACGTCAGTGCTACCTAGGCAAAATAAAATCTTGACACCAGCTCTGAAGCTGAGATTAGTTCAACAGCTACAGAATTAGATGCTCGATCTTCTTAACCTCGCGTTAAACAGCTGCTACACACCGCGCTACAAGACTCCCAGGCTCATTCTGCTCTCCCAGGAACGTCTACCTCAAACTGCTCACGCTATTAGTGGATCCTGGACAACCTAGCGCGCATATGCGCTTCATTTCGTGCTTTCCTTTCCGCAAGCTCGCTCTGCGACAGCGGAGGACGAGGTTTATGTTCTTCTTTGTGCCGCTGAATCTGCTCGTTTAGGCTCGCCAGCTGCTCGTCCAACTGAGCAATCTTAGCCGTGAGTTCGTTAATCTTTTTCGTGCATGTAGTCTTCTTGTTCTCCTTCTCGATATCGAAGATATGCCTTGTTTGCTGTTTGAGCGAAGAAAGCTCTTGTGTCGCGGCTGTAAGGTCCTCCTCGCACTTGCCCTTGAGAGGTAGTTGAATTAGACCCACGTCGAACTCTAAACGCAAGAGATGCTGCCCAGACATGTTTCCGCAGGGCATAGCGAAGATATTGCAATGCGAGATGGTGGGTGGTGGGTGTAGCTTTGAGAAGTTAGAGATCGTACGGTTGGTGGACATGGGTGAGACGCTGGGTGGCTGTGACGTAGGGACCCAAACACTCGAACAATCACATGAAAGTCATCTTTCATCCTCACCGTCACTTTTACTTCGGTGCAAGAGATGCCAAGACTTAGCAACACTTGGGACGACGAATAGTGATGAATAGCTGATGGAAAGATGCATCCGTCTTCGCTACTTCATCCCTGGACGTTCGTAACTGTAAAGGTGACGAGGACGTACCGTGCAATTACACTCGGCATTACCACGACTCTAATCAGAGTTCAGTCACCAGAAACTTTGTTCGTGCTCCTCGTGGTTCTCTCAGGAAAGTTGCGGATACGGTGGGGAGTCTTCGGATGTCAGCGTCGCAAGGTTTGGTACGATGTCAAAACCACAACCGGGGATCGCTGCAGCGCTTCACGATGCACGCACGGGCACACCATCAATACGAACAACGACGCTACGCCTACGCCCAAGTGGGTACGATTTCATTACGCGGTTCCACATCATTCAAGATCGTGAGGCCTGGCCGAATAGCTTCAATTCTTCGCAGCGCTTCACGATGCACGCATGGCATGATGGCCTCACCAATACGAACCTACAGACTTCACACACCCAAGTAAGTAGATTGAATTGACGTCCACCACCACCCCTCCACCTCCCCCGCCCGCCATCCCCTCGCTCTGGCCGAATAGCCTCAATTCCACTTGGAGTGGAGCATAATATATTGGATAATTGCGTCGCGCGCGCCTTGCTCGCGTGGCTACAGAGTGGATGAGGTGCATTGAATTGAATACAGTAGTGTGGCCAAATGCCCCGCCAGTTGTTGCAAGCTGGCCGTACTTGAGCGGGATGGTAGGGTGTGTGGCGCCTCTCGCGGCATACTTGCCTGGTCGTTCAGCTGTGATGTCAAGGCATGTCTATCATGTCTATCAACGTCCATCACCGCCTCTTCTTGCGTTTGCGCAGGGTGTCGCAATCAAGATATGGGGTGAGTGCTATGTCATCACTGTACCGACGCCCCCAGGAAATGAGTTCACGCTTGACGCAGCAGTTCCGTCCTCGGAGAAGGTTGAGGCGTTGCTTTTCTTTTGTAGAGGGTGTGATTGGTTAGAGATAAGGGACGCCCAAACGGGCACAGTGGGGCCCAACGGCTGGCCGCCTCGAGAAGAGGCGCAACGGTCGTGGTGAAGGAATGAGGGTTGCGCTGGGGAAGGGGGAAATGGGGCGTTCGCGTAGGAGATAGAGTCTATTCTCAGCCTAGGAGACTTGTAGTTGTCGAGTCTTTTCAAGCAGCGTCGGAGGGCAGCGTGAAGACAGCGAGCTCGATGCGACGGCCATGTTACAATTAGAATCTTCCAAATGGCCGGTCGTAGCCCGATGATACCCTGTCGTTCGGTCGGTCGCCAAGGGTGCAGGCATCCCCCTTCGGGCATGGCCGCCCATCCGTCAGTTCGCTGCTGGGAAGAGGTCGCTGGAGCAGCTGGCGGGCGACAACTTAATTCATCCTGTCCCCAGAGCCTCACCCCAGGTCTCCTCCGCACTCACGCGACACCGCTGTTTCTTATCTACACCTATATCCGCCTCACTCGACGCATATACGACCACTACCACGACCACGACTGTATTCACTATCATGTCCTGCTAAACCACGGTCGACTGTTGGCCCCGGCGTCTGTTGTATCACCGCCCTCGTCTCTTATCGCCTGCACGTCAGCTACCAATTGACACGCACCCTCACCACCAACACGTCCCCAACCGTCCCCATCTGTCCCCAAGGAGCCGCACGCGTCCTGCTGGCCTGTCAGCGTCGTCTGCACCCGTCGCACCACTGCAGAGCCACTGATAGCCTCCCGCTCCCAAAGCGCTGTATCAGAACCTCCAGCGCACCAATACCAGCGCAGCACTTCACCGCCTACGACTACGTATTATACGTCTCTCTCGACGTCTCGCCAACCTCAACCTCATTCCGTCATCGCCAACCTCAACTCCTCCCGTCACCATGGCCACGACCTTCTCAACCGCGACTGCGATCCCGCAACACGCACCCTACCAGCACCACGCCTACCGCAAGAGCACCCACTCGCAGTACTCACCCACACACTCCGGCGTCAACACGCCCGCCAACGTCTCGCCCACGTCGCCGCGCACCACACACCTGCCCCTCGCCCGCCACCAGGGCATCTACCAGCCGCGCACCGCCATCGGCATCCCCGCGGCGCTGCGCAAGACGGAGAAGCCCAGCAGCAAGTCGCCGCCCAAGGTCGACTCGGGCGTGTCGTCCCCCAGCCAGGGCTGGTCGGCTGGGACGTACGGGTGGGTCGCCAACGAGGGCAGCGCGACGCCCGTCTCGCAGATTGGCAATGAAGACATGCAGAGCCTCTACAACGCCGAACCACTGTCGCCCGTCGCAGGGCCAATCACACGCAACCACTGGCAGGTATGTATTCGCGCCTTTCCTACTTGTCCGCTATGCCGCTGCTAGCCTGTCCGTGCTTCCCTGTCGCGTGCTCACCTGGGCTGCGAGGGGACCGTCTTACGTACATGGTCCGGTCCCACCGACTAGCGTGCGTTGGTCTGGCCTCCCGCTGTCTGCAGAGCCGACATGCCGAGCCCTCCAATTCAGCTCAACAAGTCGCCTGGGGGGCAAACTCGGCGGCCAAGGTCGATCATGTTGTGCATGTCGCCTCGCCATGGCCTTCGGATAATTTCCATCGTCTGCCGGCTGTCGAGACATGCACACGTCGTCCCCCACGCTAGACCTATACCTACTCTTTTACCCGATGCAGGGCTGGAGTCCGGGCTGTTCGGGCTAGCGACACCTGTCCACTTGTCCACAATACAGAGTTGCCGTTGCGTCCAGAATCCACACTAACTCATCCCTAGGCCGACGGTTCCACATCGGTGTGCTCGGCATCCAGCTGCCAGGAGCCCTTTGGCTTCTTCCAGCGGCGCCACCACTGCCGCAAGTGCGGCGGCATCTTCTGCTGGCAGCACTCGCGCAACAACGTGCGTCTCGACGAGCTCGCCCGCTTCCATCCAGAGGGCCACTGGCACCGTGCCTGCGACCGCTGCCACAGCTCCTTCCGCGAGTGGGAGCACCTCCGCTCCAGCCGCACCAACAGCGAGAGCTCCGACAGCAGCAACAGCAACAGCCCCGTTCCCGCAAAGTCCATCGAGACTCCTGCCCCGGCTAAGCGTCCTGAGAACACGCGCGTAGGCAGCCTCGCACAGAGTTTCCAGGGCACGTGGAACTGGAGCACTTTCTAAACTTGGGCGTTTGCTTGTCATCGCCGCCTCACAACTTCCTTCATATCTTCATGACACCTGGACGGATCGGACGGACGGACGGATCTTCCTGCTCCTGGCGTACTCTCTTTTGATGATATCCGGAGGGCCCAGTATTGTCGTAACGGCACTGGTCCCATTCCACCTTTTCACTTGCTTCGATCACGACACGAAGCTTTCTGCATCTGCATGAACTAAACTGCATAATACCGGTGTCCTCTCTTTGCTTTTCCAACATGGCGTCTTGATCAATCACGGGGGGTGGTCTGCGTGTGCTTCGTCTCTCTTGTCCTTGCGATTCAGCGTTTTCCTTCAACAACCTTATAGAGAGTACATTTCTCTCTCTTGATCTCTCTCGATCTTTCTCCCTTTGTGGAGTCGACAAAGATGTTACTGTGTTTTACGACCGACGAAGATATCCAGAATAATGATTGTTGGAGATGGTCTTTCTTTCGATGGATCTATGGCCGTGGCGGTACGCGGTGATGTGCGACGGACGCACGTATTTCAAGAAGCCGTGGGTCCATCGCACATCACCGCGTACCGTCATGATCTGGACGGTTCTGGGCGGTTGGCCGATGGTTGTTCGGCTGGGTTGTATGTGTTTTATCATGTGGTATGGTATACGAGGAAGATGGTGTGGTGGTGGTAGTTTGTTGAGATGAGATGAAATTACATTGGTATATTCTGAAGAGTGTAAACGTGTGTTGGTGATGTGCTGGATGTGTTGATATATGGGAGGAGAGGAGGCTAGATATCTCTTCATGTGCGTGTATGTGCACTGGCGAGGTGTTGGGCATGCGCATGTATATGTAGCTGGCGTGACTCGCATGTTGTGATGTGGTACCCTGATGGCGTGATGTCGGTCAGGGTTTGGTCGGGCGAGGCTAAGGGCAGGTGTTTGATGCATGTGGATGCCGCTTGTGGGTAATGTACCACGTAGCTGGAAACAACTTGTATTGAACCCAGTAGTCGAGAACTATAGACGAAGTCTGCACATGTGTTATATGTTAGCATCTCCCTTGCAATGTTCCGAGCATGGATGCAGTTGTAGAAACATCTCCACCAACCTACCCCAGCATCGAGAACCCCAGACACGAATACGAAAACAATAAGACGAGAACAATGATACATAAGTGAAGAAAGAGAGAAACGACATTGCATACCACAAACAAAGTTCATGACTCCCCCCGTGCTTCGTTCGCACAAAGGCACCATACGGAGATACCCCGCACTCCGATTGGTCAGATCTTGTGGAGTGCTGATCGTTTTTTTTGCTGGACGAGCACGACGACGTTTACCGCACGAGTCATCGAGGGATCTGGTGAGATACGCGAGACTGCTTTGTTTATCTCTTGGTTTATGCGCTTGACCTAGTCTTACTCGACCCTGCTGGGATTTACGGGTTTGCGACTTTGCTACACTCCAGGGCTCGCTCGCCGACCGACAAGATCTTTCTGCGCTCAACCTCACAGCGCCCAACCTCACTTCGTTCGACGTCCGTCGCCATACGTCCTTCTCTTCTTCAAGTGTTTGGGGGCGCCGTCGCCCCCAGGTTAGCAAGAGGATTTTCGAATCGATACTTTGCGCAGATGGCGACTATGGCTCAGACAGCGGTGCAGGGGAATGGGGAGGTGGCGGGGACATTGCACAATCACGGTGCTGCGCAGGAAGATGCAAGCAGTAGTGGAGCGGCGCAGTCAAACATGAAGAGGAGGAAGCTACATGGGCGCGCATTCTATGAGAGTATCGGCAGTCCAAAGCTCATCCTTGCGCCCATGGTCGAACAGTCAGAGTTCGTATGTCTCTTCGTCTCTACATATGACCCTGCGCAAGAAGATGGCTAACATCATTGTCTATAGGCATGGCGACTACTCTCCCGCTCGTTCCTCCCCGAATCTCAGCAGAAAGACCTCCTAGCATACACCCCCATGTTCCACTCGAAGATGTTCGGCGAGAAGAGCAACTACCGCGACGCCCACTTCCAGCCCCTCAAATCGACTATCCCCTCACCCAGCGACGACTACCACCTCTCACAACTACCCGAATCGGAGAGACATCTCGACGGCAACCCCGCGTTCGACAGACCCCTCACCGTACAATTCTGCTCGAACGACCCCGAAGACTTTCTGCGCGCGGCAAAACACGTTGCGCCCTTTTGCGATGCGGTGGATCTGAATCTGGGATGTCCACAAGGAATTGCGAAGAGGGGAAAATACGGCGCATTCCTACAAGAAGACTGGGATCTGATATCGAGGATGATACGCAAACTACATGAGGAGCTAGACGTCCCAGTCACAGCGAAGATGCGTGTCCTCGAGACACCAGAAAAAACTCTCGCATACGCGAAGACACTGCTAGACGCCGGCGCAAGCATCATCACAGTGCACGGCCGCCGTCGAGAACAAAAAGGTCACAACACCGGCCTCGCAGACTGGAAGATGATTCGGCATCTACGCGAGAACCTTCCTAAAGAAACAGTTATCTTCGCCAACGGCAACATCCTCCAACACGAAGACATCGCCGCGTGTCTAGAAGCCACAGGCGCAGACGGCGTCATGAGCGCAGAAGGAAATCTGTACGACCCCACTATCTTCGCTGCACCGCCCCCACCCGGCCAGGAAGGACGGGAGTACTGGCGCGGTCGCGATGGTAAGGGTGGGTATAGGATGGATGCGGTGATGAGACGGTATATGGACATCATCCACAAATACGCGCTTGGTCAAGACCCGCCACAACGGAAACCCCTCTGGATGCCTGGCGATCCCAACGTCGACGTCAATGTCGAAGACCCATCAAAACAACCGGCAGAATCGACAGATCCCAACTCGAACACTGACGCAGCAGAAAACAACAAACGCCCCGCCTCCCAAGGCGAAAGCCCGCCAAAGAAGAAACAAAAACCGTTGTCTAAAACTGCGAAGAAGAAGGAGGCTAGCAACCCTAATCTCACGGCTATGCAAGCCCATCTCTTCCACCTTCTCCGTCCCCTCGTCTCCCAACACCACAACGTACGAGACGCGCTTGCACGGTCACGGACGGGCGATATCGATGCTTTCGAGAATGTGCTGAGTTTGGTCGAGAAGGCTGTTAAGGAGGGGATCATGAAGTACGAAGAAGAGCACGCTAATGATTCTACCGAAATGACCTCCACTTCTACAGCTCCGGTAGATGAACAGGCTGATGGAAAGAGTGCAAAGGAGGAGGGGGAACTAGACCCCTACGAATCCTCCCTCGCAACCGTCGCACGTGTCAAGAGGCCGTATTGGGTGTGTCAACCGTATGTTAGGCCGTTACCGAAGGAGGCGTTGGAGAAGGGGAGTATGACTGTGAGTAAGAAGGAGAGGAAGAGGTTGGAGGAGGAGAGGGAGAGGGCGGAGAAGGCGGTGAAGAAGGGGGATGAGGAGGTTAAGAGTGTGGGGTTGGTGCCGGGGGGGAGGGTTGAGGAGAAGGTTGTGGGCGGTGGGCATGATGGGGATAAGAAGGCGGATGGGGAGAAGGAGGAGGTTTTTGAGGAGCCGAGGGATGGTATGGTCTGTGGCTAAGAGGAGAGAATGTAGATACCCGGCGACGAACTTTGAATGAGGATAGCGGAACAACGATTTAGTACTATCGACCGACATCCCTCTTTACCACTAGAACTCACCGACTGACCGTCTCTTCCGTAGTATCCAGCATAAATTCTGCCTTGGCAAACGCCCCTCTACTCGAAGCTTCCACCAAAACATCATACCTCCTCTTCTGCCTCACCCACTCCATCATTGCTTGAACCCGGATGAGCGAGAATTCGGTGCTGATATCCGCTGCGTTGATATCCTTGTCCACGGCATTTAGACTTGCGACACCGCGGCATGATAATCTGAAAACCAATGTTGTCCATTTGAGAATCATGCCCATTGATAGTGATATCACAATTTGCAGGACGGCCTGATGGACCCAGTACACCCCCAGCAGTCTGACTTCGTAGCTTGAGTCCAAACCGCGTTTGCATACACCCGCATCCCCCTGCCC